CCCCAAAACCCCAAAACCCCAAAACCCCATGATAAAGGTGAAATATTGGAAATAAATAATATTTATTTAGAATAGCAAAGATGAAGATAAAGAGTTTAAAAACTAATAAATTTGCATCCACTTCTAAATTTAATGGAATCAGCTTGCTCCAAGTACAGTCATCCAAAAGAATGCAGGGTGGTAGAAAGAGGTATATAATTACTAAGTTCCTGCTATAGGTCGAGTATTAACGTTATCCCTGGCTTTAACAAGAACCCTTCCAGGATCGATAGCATTTAAGGTAGCTAGCTTTAACAGACCCATTACTATTACAACATCAATTCAAACAAGTTTGTTAAATTCAGAAGAAAGTTTTTACATTAAAATAGAACGGTGAAGCATCAGTCAGCTCATCTGGCAAGTGAACTAAAATTATGGGCAAAAACTGGAAGAACTGGGGAGGAATGAAGGTAAGTGATTGCTCATATTTTTGGTCTATAATCCTGAACATTTGTTTAGGTATGACCAAATCGAATATTTTTCCATTGATCTTTATACTCATGACATCAACAAATTTTACTGGGCGAATACTACATTTGTGATCATTAAAAATTATTATGAACGCTGTAGAGGGCTGAATATCGTAATTCTTACTAATAGCTATCATTTTCAATTTTAGGGATATTTGAGAAAGAAAAGCACAAAAATTAGCACGTCCATCGACACAGATATCCAAGAGAATGGTATTGATGTAATGTTGATATTACTTTAGATGAACTCATGAGAATGATTGACCATAATAAGTCTAGTTCAAGTAACTTTCATTTAATTCTCAGGACTCAGAAATGAGAAAAGCTCCCCTTTAAGAAGTCTAAACTCTAAATGGAATACAAATAAAGCTCAATTACCTCCTAAATCTGAGCATCGGGCAGGGGTACGGAGCAACCTGATGGTGCCTACAATGTAAGCTTTCTCTCATCTCTTTAGTAAGGATAAAAGAGTCTCTTTCAGCCGATCCAGACATAGTCAAGCTCCTTCGTAAATATCAAATCTATAAAAATAGTAAAGACTATGTTGACTTGATGACTAAGATGAATATCTTGTCGTTACAAAGAAACAACAAAATCAAGGAGCTAAATGTTCTGGGCAAGGAATGTAAACACAAAAGGGTCTTCTTTAGGTATTATTCTGGCTTATTGTTGTAGCGAAAAGCCCAATCCTAAATAAATATTGCAAGAAGAGCCTTACTAAGGTATTCAGTGATTACAGACTTTTAGGACACATTTGACAAATAACTTATATGAATTGATAGAAGATTCTCCAGAGAGTAAGTAACTTGGCTTATGATTGTAGATAAAATGAAATAAAATCAAAATATTGAAAAAGAATCTTCGTGGTATTAAAATGAAGAAGTAGAGTAAAGTTTAGGATATATAGATCATCTCCCCCAAAGTTGAATGCAAACAAAGCAAGAATGCTAAAGTAATGGTAGCAATTAATTGATAGAATCACACCAAGCAGCGATTTCGCTTTCTCTAAATAAAAGCGTCCTGGATGATTTATCAATTTTAAAGGAGATCACTCCTAATAAACAAGATACAAAGTATATTCTTACATTATTCCATAAGACTCCTCAAGAAGAAAACAAGGTCGCTTTCATCCATAAGAAAAGTTACATCTAATTTCTAACGCCACTTCCTCATCACTCAACGACAAAATCACAATATCACTCAACAAGACTCGCCAAAACGCATCTATTCTGTCCCTCAAAAAGCCTCCAAGGTACTTAAAATTCCTCAAATTCCTTAAATCCCTTCAGAACCCTTTAATCTACCCTACAGATACAACTACGCTAGCAACGTTGCTTCAAGACTTGCTCACAAAGAGAAAGGTAGCTCTCCGCTCAATTTCTAGGTTTTGGAGAGTACGATGACAAGATCGACCATGCCTTTGAGCTTGAAAGGCTCTATCTTAAACGTAATTGCTCCCTTCGAAAGTTTAGACACCGGCAAACCTCCTGATCTAGAACGGATAAACACCCTTGACCGGATAATAGAGAATCTAGCAAAACCGTACCATGAGAAGTTCAAAGTTAGAAATGAGGTTATTAAGAGCATGACTGAACTGTAAGAAAATTGGATTATGTAGTAGGAATAATGAAATGGATATTGATAGAGCGGATTGTGGATTCGACCAGAATGACTCTTTTATGCTTGAAATGGGGTTGTAAGGAAAGAGAGAGCATTTAAGTGCAGGTTTATCAAGTTTTCAATTTTGAGTGTGCATTTTGGGGTTTTGGGGTTTTGGGGTTTTGGGGTTTTGGGG